GGGAGATGGGAAATTTATTGGTAATGGTAGGGTTTGGTTATTGTGAGCATGAAGATTGTTAACAAGGCTAATAAAATTTTGGATTTGTCTTTTAAATAATATTTGATAATAATAATTAATTTAATTTAATTTATTAATTATTCATTATTATATATTTTATTAATTATTCATTATCTACAACAATTAAAATAAGATAAAATGATTCTCTGTGTTCGAATTACCTGGTTTTAGAAAAAATAAAAAATTTCCGTGTTCCGGTGTACTGTAAATAGTAAAAGATTTTGGCTAAATTTTCAAATGAGGACATTCACTTTTCTTTCTTTTTTATATGCTGGTTACCGTTTGAAATAAATTAAGGATGCAAATTCCATTGACTCAAAGTCAATTTCGATGTATATAATTATGTTAACCTCCAAGGGTTATATATATATATGTACATTTGTATATATATTTTTTAACGGATTATAATTTAGAAATGATAAATTTAACTTTAATTTTAAAAATGAATGTATATCTTAAAATGAGATATAGAGTTATCAAGTTACGAAACTCAAGTACAATATAAAGAGTTATATTATTTCATAAGTAAATGTAGTTTTTTCATTAAAGAATTTAAATTTTAAAATTAATACTTAATAAAATTAATTTTATTAAATACACTAGATTAGTATAGAAAATATATTCTTAAAATTTTATATAAGAGTATAGTTGCTTTTATGGCCAAAGTCTTTTGCCTAACATCACTGTAATTAAAGTTTTTGAGTTTGAGATAAAATATATATATATATCTCTTTGATTTTGTTGTAAGTTCCCTTTAATTGAAAATAGTGAAAAGTTGGTGTGCTTATTTGTAAAACTTTGCCAAAACTTTTTATTCTCATTCATAAGTCATAGTTTATTTCCAATTTTGATATGGTAGCATTTGCAAGTTGTCAATTTGTTATGAACCCACTTTCCCTAACAAAATGATTTTTAAAGAATCTTTTAAGTTGCACTTGCAATGCTGGCTGCATTGGCAAGTGCACCATCAAATCCTTGTTTCGTACGAAAAAACTCCTCCATTTCAAAATTTCCAATGTTCAAAAAAAAAAAAAAAAGAGAGAAGAATCTTTGAAGTTTTGCAAAAGGCAGAAAATCTGTCCATGGCTCCAATGAGAAGTCAAGGGCGGCTCCTTCCTAAAAGGCCACCAGATATTTCAATTCATTCATTTTATTATGTTGTTTGAATTAACTTTTTTTTAAACATTGATAGTTAATATTTAATAATTAATAATCATTGATATTTATAATTCAAAATATATAATTCTTTTAATTAAAACCAATAATTAATAATTATTTCTAAAATATCAAAATAAACTTTCCTTATTACTTCCACTATCCTTTTTGGGCACAAAATTCATGGCATGTGGATTTTGGGGTCAATGATTGTTGGACAATTGTGGAGGGGGGGACCAATGCTAAGAAGGAACAAAGGCATGCCAAAGTCAGAAAAAGGTAGAAGAAAATCAGAATAGAATCTATAGAATTTCATGGCTTCATGCAACCGAGATCAGAAACAGGCACAAGGATCACTAGAACTTCCAAGTTTTAGAGAAACCATAAATAGTTGAATATTGGATGCATTTCAAAAAGTGGAGCAAATTATACAGATTAGTAGCATTATAATCAATTTGAATAATGTTACAATTTAAGTGGTACAAGAGCAAAGAATATATACTGCAACCTTGTTCCAGCAAATGGAGCAGTCATGAGGAACTCCCCATGATCACTTTGTCAAATCCACTTGGAGCTATATCCTGCAGCAGGCAAGAGGGGAAATCTGGGCAATGATTTTCCAGAAAAAGGGATTGATGAAACAAAAGATTACAATATTATCAGCACAACTGCAGAGGTAATCACAGGCATCTCTGTAGACTGTAGTCCTGCTGGCTGAGTATTTAGAGGTTTTGTGTTCCAAGGTTGGTCAGAGGGAAAGAGAAAACAGAGAAGCATGGCCAAGATGGAAAGGAAGCTCAAGTAATCAAAACCCAGACGGTTGTTTTTTCAAATGAAAATGAAGGAAGCCCATTAATTTAACAAAGTTCTACCAGCCTTATGAATTTGGGAGAATTTTTAAAAAACTCAAACCACACAAGAAAAAGTTTTTCTATCAGTTTATAGCTTAGGAGGATACTATAAAACATAATAACCATTGGGCAAAAAAACGAAGAGGGAAGAATAGAGAACAGATAAAAGCATGGTAAGCTTATGAACTTCTTTGGAATTTGGAGAACAGTGAAGGTACATACCACTTTAAACTATAATTGCAGGTCAATCTTCTCAGACCATTTGAAGATATCAGAATAAACTTGATCACCTCCCAAATCTTCTCCAGAAGCCCCAGCTGCAACCCTTATAACATCCTCAATTAATGCAAAGTTTCCCATTATATCAACATGAGCACCGCTTTGGCTACCACGTCCCTCCAGCAAATTGGCTGGAGGGGAATGGTTGTACTCTCTAATGTATGTCTGGATTCCAGAAGGATTGAATCTGGTTTTCCCACGCCAGCCTTTAGCACACATAAAGCCTGAGCTAAGAACAGGAACAGTCTCATCCCCATCCACAGAATACACTCCATCTCTTAGGCAGCTATCTTCATCATCAGCCGACGTATCAATCTGAAATGGAATATAGCACTCAGCAGCAGGAGATAACTTGTAAATGTAAGCTCTTTCGGTTGGTTTGCCAACTCCATATAGAGAGAAGATTTCCATTTCTGGAGCATTTGGAAGCCTGCATAGTAGAGTGATAGCGGATGGTTATTGTGAATCAACATTTACAAACAATTAGGACTTAGAAGCATATCAGACAAATTGCTAAGTCATCAACTAGAACAAGTGTATTTAGAACAAAAATGAAAAAGCAACTTGACCAGGAGGCAACCATGAACTCCTGAATAAGGAAGGAAATTTAACAGAATGTTCATTAAAACAAAGCCATATAAAACCATCCATTAATAACTGCAATAAGGAGCTGCTCTCTCAAAGTAACTAGTATTAGATAAAAATAGATATGATGTGTCTGTGTCACTGTGTGTGTGTATTTTGTTGTCTGGTATGATATTAGTTCATCACAAAAAGAAATGAAGCTATTTCTCTTCATACAGCAAATAGAATGTAAGATTCTCACTTTGTCTCCAAGGGGTTTGACCAATATTTGTAGTGTTGATATTTAGGGTCATCCAAATTGTCAGCAATTCCATAGGAGAAATGAGAAGTGCCACGCGCCATCATTTTTGGAGCAACAAAGTGAAGTAGGTCCAATACTGATTCAGCAGTGTAAATTTTATATTCTGCAACAGCTTTAATACCTCCAGGTCCCATGTCATGGTACTCTGTCCACAGATCTCGACAGGTGCTGTTTGCAACACTATGACCCTTTACTGCACCCTGAACTTAAAAAAAGCAAATCAAATTTAAAATAATAATGAGACATTTGATACGGTCCAAGGAAGGGAACTAATAGTATACAATTGAGATAACATAACTTGACTTTCCAAGGAAAGAACCCTTTTGAGTATGACTATAGAAGCATAAAAGGACTATTAGAATAAAATATAACGTTATGTGAACAAGGTTTCCCAAAAATTTCACTGCATAAATGTATCCTATCTATCTTATTCCAAAACTACAATTTTAGTTTGAAATTCAACAATAATATTTTAGAAATTGAATGATTCCTTTAATGATACCAACAGCATGTGATTCATCTCACAATCAAGGATATGGGTTACGATTTTTAATTTAAATCCACAAAATGCACCTGCCACTACATTATTTTGAGAAACCAGTACTATCTCATTGAAAACTATCCCTCATTTGAACTTTGTGGATTAAGATGCAATTTGGGGCCTTTTTTGTTTTCCCTAAGTTTATAAAGAGGTTACAACAAACACTGCCTTACTCTGAAGTCAATCCTCTCAATCTCTGATGAAGGTGCCTCAGCTACTTCCTTTCCAAATGATATAATCCTCCCATAATTTGCACTTTTTGTTTGAGAAACTGCACTTCCAGGGCCAGTTCCACTAACAATGTGGGTGTCATTGCTCTTTTCTCTTTTTCTGCGACAAACATGGCCGTCCTCAGGTGACCAGTTAAGACCACCCCATATCGTGTTTCCACCTCTTGGTATCATAGACATGGTTGAATCCCATGTGCGGGTCATCTTCATTACATGTTGCAAGGTTTGGATGTGGAATATATCATTGTCCAAAAACCCCGGTGCAATAGCTCTGCATTTTCATGTTATTTTCTTAATCATTGACTATATGAAGACAAATTTTCATATATAACCTAAAATAAAGTTAAGAACTCAATGCTTCAAAGAATATCAGTGGGTTGCCCTTCAACAAATACCCTGACAATAATTGTAGCAAGTTGAGAAGAGTATAATACTAGGTTAACAGAGAGAAACTGATCCATATTCAGTGTCAATATATGTGAAGGTTGCTTTTGCCAGTAATCTACCATTACGTTCCCTCCCACCATAAGTCTACAAATTTGAGATTTTCCCACCACTAGACAAAGATATTATTCTGAAAAAATAACTTGCTGATCTCAAAAGGGAAAAAAAATCATTAGATCACTGCTTAGTTACCATGACTCAATACTGAAAAGGTAACTTGTGACTTGTCAACTACCTGGCAACTGCAACATCCTTTGCTTCAGCTGAGAAAAGCGCCGCAATAGCTTTTGGAACACCCAAAAATGGCCCACCAATGTTCATCACAGCCTTAATATGCCTAGCACACCAATCTGGTCCACCCCCACCACCCATTGGAGCTGGTGCTTCAACCCACTTTATAAAATGTAGAAAATACAGAACACCCATGGAGTGAGGAATGACAACAGCCTTTTTCCCTCCATTTGTAGCAACCATCAGCTCTATGTTACTTTTAATTTGGCTCAATGTCTGGTCTCTTACCTTAGTAGTTGAAAGATATTAATGTAATGCAAGAATCCACAGAACACTAAAATGGTCAGACTACGGTCAAAACTAATTAATTTCCAATAATCTGCATAACCATAATAGAAACTATAGTTAAGGGAAAACGAAAACCACCTCAGTATTCTGAAATGAGAGTCTCCAATCATAAGCAGCCATATACATGGTTTTCTCCTCATATCCTATACGTGCCAGGTTAGCAATCAAAACAGCCCACACAAAGTAGCCTGGAGCAAAGTAATCAGCAGCCACAAGTCCAGTAACAGGCCTGACCCTGATACCACAAGGATCCAATCCAGTTTCATTGTCTAATGACATGTGTTCTATCCAGCATAGAGGTCTGCAAAATATCCAACCACTCATTTTCCTTGTATTGCAGAATATTATTCCACAACTGTCAATAATTTGAGTTAAACAAAATGTTTCCTTGATTCTGACTATTTAAAGAAACATAACACAAATAACTATAAAAGAAAACAAAAATTGAAAAGGATGCAGTATAATAAAATCCACTGAGGGATAGAATTGTCATAAGAGTAACATTAAAAAAGAATAGGCATGTAGATCAAAAATGATTTTGTCATCAATAAATGCCTGAATCTTAGAAAGAAATTGATGGTGACTAGTTTTGTATGGGTTAAAGGTATGTCCTGTTGGTTTTGGTTTACTATGCGCATAAGAAGAAGTTGTACATTTGCATCTCATTTCCAGACATATCATTTATGTGATGAACTTTATTCTTTGCCTTGATTCAGGTCATTTTTGTGTAAGTTGTTTTCATTTGAAAAGCAGCCTCCATTATTTAATTTGCAGGTATAAGTGCCACAGTCATCTATCCAACGAAGAGCACGTCCCTTTCACCATACTATATAAACTTGCAATATCCAGTCATATTATTTATACTGCCAACTAGATGCCAAACTGCTCCACGCAGACGCATATAACCTTCATGATTCTAATATGAAAAAAGGTAAAAAGGTCAATAATCACAAGGAGCAAAGTTATCCATCCACTGAACCCAGTTTGGTGCTCTAAAAAACTTTTAACAAAAACAGGTGAAAAGATTTGTCAGTTTAGGGAATGGATCTAGTTTTTTTCTTGATATGATGGAAGGAAACAACACTTGACCATATGAGGTAAACCTCAACATCAACTATCAACTACTCCATCCTAATACAGCACAAATTACCAAAAGAGCAAGATGCTCAATATAGTCAAGATACTTTGTGGCATAATTAAACTAACCACTTGATTTAAGATAATACCTGTCCCCAATTCCCTATATTCAAAATTATCAAAAAAAGGGTTAAAAGCGACCAAAACATTACAAAAACAATCAATTATTCAAATTCAATACCTTTTGTACACTTCGCCGAATGTGCCACCCCACAACCGCTTCCTAAACAACCCCTCTGCACAGTGTTGTCCCTCCCACAACTCAAGCCCACCCGTTACAATCCCCGGCACAAACACCACTGGATGCCTCGCCTGTAGCGCCTCCTTTCTCAGTTTCTCGCCTGGCGAATCATGTAATGGCCCGTTTATTGCCTTATTAACATACTGAGGAAACGAAGCCGGCATTGCGTTGTAGAGGAACAACAGTACCACCATGTTACACATATGCAACCAATGAACCAGCAACAAGAATCCACACACGACCACCTGGGTTTTTCTCTAAGTTTCTTGCTTTTCGCTGGCAGCTTCTTGTTTTTATCATCTTCATCCTCTTCCTCGGGCGCTACTTTCTGGGGTTTTGATTCTGATGCCAGGGTTTTACTGGGTTTTCTTCTTCTAATCAAAGACATCTCCTTTCTTCACTAAATACAATCTTGATTATTGTTTGTGTCTCTTTCTATGGAAAATCACTTCATTATCCCAAGAAAAATCAATAACAAAACAGAAACCTTTTAGCTTTAAAGGAAAACAGTTCAAGGAAGTAACGCAAAAATAAATTTAGCAACTTCTCTTTTAAAAATTATTCAACTGATTCTGTTTCTTATGGGGTCAAAAGGAAAACAAGGTGCTAGAAGCTATCTAGCTAAGTTGCAGTTAGTGTGACGGAACGTAGAAGAGAAAATTTTTCTGGAGAAAATGTTTTCTAGAGAAAGGAAACGTGAGAAACAACAGCAGGAATTGCTGTGGGGTCAGAGGCAGAGGATGGCGATTGGTGGGCGTTTTTCTTCACTGGATAGCCAAAAAATTGAAAAAAAAAAAAAAAAACCATGGATTGACGACGCCAGAAGGTTCTATTTAAGAACTGCCAATCATATTTTGAAACTTGGCGTGGTAGTTAGTAATCTCAGCTGTTGTTTCTTGCAATTGGAAAACACGCCTGCTTTTTTCAAACTTCAATTCAACTAGATTCTGCAACCTATATTTATATTTTCTACAGGGGAATCCTGTTTTGCTAAGGATTGAAATATTGAACGGTATTAGCCAACCGGGCCTGAATCCTAGTGGTTTGCCAAGTATTAAGGTTTGGGTGAGGTGGAAGTTAGGATTTTGAATTCTGTTATTGTTATAAATTTCATCAATTTGTAGTTTAATGGCTGTGCATCTCATATGAGAGAATGGAATGTTCACTAATTTAAGAAATCTCAACTGTTAGTAACTAATTTTAATAATTGTTTAACCATTATTCTTGTCAAAAAAAAAAAAAAAAAAAGAAGAAAGAAGGAAAGAAAGAAGAAATATTGAATGGTACTAAGCATTGCTTGGCGGGGCCTTTTTGAGTATTGCTTATAAATGTTTTTGTTTCCCTTAAAATTTAAAAATGAAATTGAGCGAAAAAAGAAATTTTAGTAAAAAAAACGTTTATAAATGTTGAAAAATAAAGAAAGGAATAATTAGAAGGAGAAGAAAGAGTTAGAGACGTATAGTAAGGCAATACAAAGATATTTGATCTTTCCATTCTCTTATTTACCTCATCTACTTACAAAAGTACAAGTTCTATGTATATAAAAAAAGTCAATGGATGGTAAAAGTTACAAAAATTGTAAAATAAGAATTAATCACTTATTAAATAAAAATAAATCACCATGTAAATGTATGAAATTATAGAATGTTAATCATTACTATAATAATATGAAAGTATTGAGAGTTACACTATTAATTAATATGTAAATATCTTAAAAAATGAGGTGGTGCAAGATGTAAAAAAGTAAAATATCCAAAAACCAATTGATTCATAATAATATGCAAGTTATGCAAAGAGTACTCGAGCTTTTTTATGTAATTGCTTATAAGCACTTTAATACCATCTCTTCAAGTTTGAAATTTTTTGAAAGAATCCATCAAAAAAGAAAACTTTTGAAAGAAAATGAAATAAGAGTGTTTACAACCAAGTGTCTCAAAAAACAATATACCATTACTATTGATTTTTACAATACTTTTTTTTTTTTTGGATAAAGTATAAAAATATTATTTATCCAATAAAACCATTATGTACACTTAAGCAACAACTGCTGCTACATCAATGTATAACTGCAATTTTCAACAAAATCCTATTGCTAAGATTGTATTGGTTACTGTATAATGCCTTCTAACTCCCATTGCTCTACTACAAACATGGATAGTGATTTTTACAAAACTTATTTATAAGCTAGTTCAAATTTCTCATTTCCCTTTATACTTATTTTAAATTTAAGAGATAAAAAGGTGTCCATACAACTACTCAAAAACACTCTAAAAGCATGGTGCTGTTGTGGAAAAAATTGCTAGTCTAACCAAACTTTTTTTTTTTTTTTTGAACATGCGGAAAAGGGGATATTTGTGGGGAGCGGAATTGGAATAAAAGGGATTAGATCCCCAGTGGCGTGGGTGGGTTATTCGTATGTCCCAACGTTTGAATTTGGATTAGGATGTCCGACCTTTTTCGAGTGTTCCTGAATTTGGATTTTAGAGATGCCGGGAACAAAGATAATTAAACCCAAGGCTGACTTAAACTTAGCCCAACCTAGTTCCTTTTCATTGGGCTAAAACTTTTGCCATCCAGCCCTTCTTTTCTTTCTTTCTTTTTTATTTTTTTTATTTTTTTATAGGAAGTCCTTCATTTTTTTTTAGTACATTGGGGTTTAATTGTTGGTTAAACTATCAATTTGGTCCTTTAACTTTTAGATTTATTTTGAAATTATCTTAAACTTTAAAAAATATCAAAATTATCCTTAAATTTTAATTTTTTATACCAAAATAATCTTTCTATTAACAAAAATGTCATGTAACTTGTTATTTTGCCACAAAATCAATTTTTTTTAAATGTTAATGACATATAAAATCAAATAGTCATATTTTATTGCTATAGCATATTTTCATTTATATACCATATTAACGTGTAATTAAAATTGAAAAACCAAATTAGTATTTATAATTAAAGTTTAACGACTAAATTAATCTTGTTTTGAAAGTTCTAGGATTAAGTTGGTGTCAAAAATTAAAGTTTAGAGACTATTTTGAAATTAAAAATTAAAGTTCAAGAACAATTTTGGTACTTTTTAAAGTTGAGTGATAATTTCAATATAAATTTGAAAGTTGAGGAATTAAATTAGTATTTTAACCTTAATTGTTTGGTATTTAAGGAAATTTAAAACACCTAAATATTGAATCTAAATTGTTATTAAATAAGTATCAATTTAACTAAACTTTTATTTACCCTGCCCTTCTTTTTCATTTAGTCACATGCTTTTTTTTTTATGGAATAATAATAAACATAAAATTATTTTATTTTATGACTCCAAAAAAGAAAAATGCTGTTATGACAAGTTTAACATCTCCATGTTCACAAATAGAGTTTTTTTTTTCTTTTTTAATCCAACAAGAAAATCAATTTAGTTTATCTTATGTTAAAAAAAAAATTCAGTTTCGGACATTCAAAGCCATAGGAAGTGCATAGATGGAAAGAAAAGAAATATATCTTCAGCCTTTCAGGATGTGATGCGGTGGTTATGGGAACTGATTTTTTTTTTAAACAATTCCTTCAAAACGGGGGGAAAAGAAAACAGTAATAGTTGGTTTGATTTAAGAGAGATGAAGGAGAGGATAAGGGTGGTCTTATTTTGATTTTTAACTAATAAAATAATTTGATCGGTTATAATAATTTTCTCACTTATCTCTTTCCAATCCCTGAAATCTAATCAAATTGTAAATGAAATCAATTCAATTTAATTGAGTTAGTATTTACCATTTAAAAAAATTAATTCTTTAAATGCACCAAATTGATGTGGATAATGTGCCTTTAGATTGCTCAAGAAAGAATTATTTTCTCAACGCATAAATAATAGCACAAAGACATGCAAAAAAAGTGTCTATCATATGCTAATTGGAAAATTTTGAAGTGAAATTCAAGATCCAACTTTTTATAATATTAAACAACTATTTGTTCAAAAAATGAGGAAATGAGGTGGTTAATCCCTGTTGTGCGGCTAATATACACAGAAGAAAAAAGGAAAAAATGGAATTTAAGAAAATACAAAAAGAAAACCCCTTCAACGCTGTGTAATTTAGTAATACTCTTTGCTTGAATAAAAGCAAAAAGTGTTTCCTTGTTCTATAGGATGACTACAACTCTTTTCAACTTGCATCAAGTTAATTATCATACGCCATGCAAGCAAAGCATATTTCTTTAATGTAAAGTTTTATGTTTGACGTAAAGAAAATCTAATTGGGCATGCATCGATAATGTTTCCCCCTCAAGAAAAGATATGCATGCTCAATCTTTTTGTTGTATTTTAAAGTTCAACTTAATTTTTAAAAAAAAATTTATAAAAAATTACTTTCTCTAATCACTTGCTTAAGAGTTAAGAAGCAAAACCCCACTTGCTTAAGTTGGAAAAGGAGCCAGAAAGGTGAAAAAGAAGCATCTACCTAGCTAGGTTTGGTTGGAAAACAACTTGGAGGCTGAAGAGCTCAAAGTCTGTTGGTCTGACTGAGCTTTCCACTTTGGAAAGATATATGATGATGATCATTATAGGAGGTTTTGTCTCCATAAAGAACGGCATAACCATGATACAGGCTTTGCTGGCCGGCTATGCAACATTCCTAAGGCAACTCATATATATCTGATCGCACAAGCAAAAGTTATATATATATATATATATATATAT